AATACTAATGGTAGTAATGCACTAAATAATTTTTATTTAATTAAATAATGCACCAAAGAACACAGACGTAATAACTTGAAAAATAGACAATTTCCCCTAACTCTCAAAATGTTTCCTGCTTTCTAAGTATGCGACAAGAGCTATTACAAATTCATCCAAGCTAGTCGTTAACTTTCCTCATGGGAATGTAGTTTGTACTCTGAGTTAAACTGATGCTTATCTTTTCAGAACACAACGTTATACAATACGTTATTTGATAGATGAAAACCTTGACTTTCTGTTGGATATTCGTAATATATAATTAAATGTAACAGAGAACAATTAACAAATCCTGAAAGAGAGGATGTGGCAGGAGGGGGTGTGATTTTATATTTGATAGCTCTGTAACCAAACAAAATTGAAGGCTATAAAAATTATGGTTGGTCTGAGCAATGACGATTTTATATTGAGTAATTTAAGTTTAATTTTGTACATTTTGGAGAGGTGATGGAAAAAAAAAGAAGATATCTAGAGAAAATGTATCACACTAGGGGAAATTCAGGATTTTTTAAAATATTGCCTTATAAAATTAAGAACTTAAAACTTATATACTATTAAAATATGGATTATTAGCTAAGATTTTATGCTATACTAATTGGTATAACATAAACAAAAAATAGTTTAATAAAATTGTGAACGTAAGACACTGAAACTTTGTGTCATGCACAGTAAAGGATACCCGTGGCAATAAGGTGAATGCATTTAACCAGCATAAAAAAGTTTTTTCAGTATTGTAGATTAAAAAATTACTACTAAAAAGTAAAATAACCTCCCTCCTGTACTTTGTCTGAAACAGAGCAGTTTTGTACTTGTCATATATTTTCTGAAAACAAACTGTGTGTAGTTCCTGAGCATTAAAATATTCAATTCATCAAGCATGAAAAAAAAATTTAGATAGATTTAATTCAGGACTTGAAACTTTATTGGAGAGGTGTTTTGGCAAATGTTTGCCAGTTACTTTACAAATTCTGCCAGCTATACTAACAGAAAAAGAAAAACCATAAGTTACATCATTTTATGGATATAGCTAGTAAGCTGGCATGAGTTTCCAGGAAGTGTTGTATATTTTACTTAATATTTTTGTACTGTATTATCAAAGTTTAGATCTATATTTAAGATAATAATTAAATTTCCTAATGTAAAATTAAAATTGATTCACCACTTAAACATGCTCTTTTAAAGTTGGGGAATCCCATTAAATTGAAAGATGCATGAGAACGATGCACAAAGGTACCAAAAAGGCTCATCAGTCAATTATCATAGTGTGAGTATATTCTCATAGATATTCTTGCAGACGGGTATTTTTTTTATAATTCTGATAATAATGTGGATTATCAACTAGCAAAAAAAATATCAATGACCATTGATGATCACTGGTTTAACAATAGAACCCATTGGGTTTTTATAATTTGTTCCCCCCTTTTTTATAATTTATAAAAATTAGGGTAAGAAAATTGCTTTCTTTTTCAATCCATTTTTAACAAGTATTTCTCATCATCACTATTTTGTGCATCTGAATTTTATTACCATGTAACAATGCCTTAATTTAGTATAATGCATGAAAGTTTATCCATCAGAACTACACAACTATTGAAAGACATTATACCAAAATAGAGATAACATTTACAATCCTTTGAACAGTGTGTAGAACTAAACATGTTTTTGGAATCACGGAAGTTTGTGTTTCCATTGATCCATCTCTTACAGTATCATTAATATATTAATGTCAGAATTTTAAAATAGAGCTTTAGTGACACATCTCTCACACAATAAGATAAATTAAATATTTTAAAATGTTTTTCTTTAATATTGTTTGCAATTAACTCTCACTACGGGCTCAGTCCCGGGGGAAAACCTTGTAACCATTTTGCACTTGTTATAGTTTTCATACTATAACTTTTAATACAGCATACGTATCATCACAAAATTTTGCAGCTTATCAGTAAACATTATGAGGCTATCGTACACAAAATATCAGATTTTTTTACTAAGCTTTAAGATTTTCTAAGTAATGATTTGCTCTTGCATTTTGATTTTAAGATTAAATAATACTTTAATGTATCAGAAATCTGTCAAATTTCACATGTGAAATCTTCATAATCTCCAAATAATTATGAAACGTTTTTGTTTACCTGTTATTTTCACTATTGTATCTCTGTATGGGTTTGGTCAATTTGACTGACCTCGTTACCACCAAAAAAATTAGGAAATAGGTATAAATTACACTTGTTTTGTGTGTTCTAGAATGAGTGCAAATTATAACAAGAAACCAAAATGTTTAGTCTAAATAGCTTAAATCTCATAAAATTCTA